ATAGGATTGTTGACGACCACACAAACTAGAAGATGTTCAGATACATGGTTTTCACAGCCAGATGATCCCTGGGGTCTTGCAACTTTGTTTTTGTTTCTGATTTAAATGTTTTTAACACCTGTTTTATAAATGAAACTTTAAGGCATGTGACTTAAGCAAATCACTCTTCCAAATGACCAGATTACTCCAGCTAAGTAATTAGAAGCCTCATTTGAGCAAAACCAGCTCGCGCTGTGGCCCTAGAAGGATGGGATTGTACCGTACATTGCAAAAATGTTCCAAATTTTTTGGATTTTCCATTCTTCTCAGTGGCTACTTTCTTGCCAGGAATTATTTAAATGGTCTCTGCGTTGGAGAAATCCGTGCTTAAAGTGGACTGTCATGGTGACAGATCCAGTATGTGTGCCATTCCGTGAAGCGTTCCACTGATGTAATGGTCGTGTGCAAAGTGGCAAAACGCAGCCAAAAAATCCCCATGAATATCCATAAAATACACTTTACGGAGTCTTCTTGGAATCAAAAAGGGTTCGCAATCTCAACTGGCACAGACAAAAAAATGTATCGCTCCACACTTTTACAATCCTTCCTTCCATTCGACTTACGTCTTCCAACCAAAACAACAAGTGACTGGGCACCTTTACGCACAAACAGGGTCATACCAAGCCTGTCAACATAGGGGCCTTGATGCTTTTACACACAGACAGGGTCATACCAAGCCTGTCAACATAGGGGTCTTGATGCTTTTACACACAGACAGGGTCATACCAAGCCTGTCAACATAGGGGTCTCGATTTGCACATTATTGCTAAACGATATTACTATCTCACTGAAATATTCAATAATAAGTTTTCAAAAATAGGACTTACAAGAAATTATTGAATAATGCATAATAAATGACATAAGAAATTATCGAGGAAACTCTATACCATAGAGTTTCCGGGGACCCCATAGGTTAATAAACAGGTATTCATCATGTTGTGGGGACATTTGGTCCCCACAAGGTAAGGTATACCTGGACCACATACACACACACACAAACACACACACACACACAGACCTGTACTCATATCTTTGTGGAGATCATCCATTCATTTCTTCTTTTTTTAATGCTTTATTTATAGTTTTTCATTTGCATAGAAGACGGGGGGAAAAAAATAGAAAGAACAAATTACCCTAAAGTAGGTTAATCTGTAGACATACATCCAAGTACATATTAGTAAGATGAACATAATGTATGTGTATGGAACAATTATAATAAATATATAAATGAAAAGGGGGGGGGGGGGGACTCTCTCCTTCGCTCAGTGTCAGTTTGTAAATAGAACATTTCATACATAGGCAAAATAACCCAGCAATTGTCATGGCTACGATGTTTATGGTGGGGTCTTCTCTATTTATAGAATTTCTATTAGAGTGCTTTAATTTAATTTGGCTACACGAATCTTTAGTACTTCATTGTATTATTCTTGTGTGTTGTGCAGTCGTAATGTAAGCAATTTCCTTCGGGATTAATAAAGTTTTCTGATTCTGATTCTGGACTGAATCAGGCACCGTCTGATACGGACAGAGGAGGTGTGAATGCATTCTAAGCAACGTTGCCAGATCTCACCGGAAAGGCCAATATTTAGGTCTTCCTCACATGCCACTTTTGTTCTACCCCATGAAGGTGGGTTAATGCTCTGAATTGTAGTGTAAATTTTAGATATGTTACCTTTCATGTAGGGGTCTAGGGAAAGTATATATATCGTCAACAACATTCTTCGCTGGCAAAAATGGGAGTCTAAAATGCTTACTAATGAAACTTCTAGTTTGTAGAAATCTGAAAAAATTGATTTTGGAATGCTGTAACTATTTTGCAATGTTTCGAATGTCATATGTGTTCCTTTTACGAAAAGATCTTTAACAAAGACCAGAACGTTTTTGCGCCAGATTTGAAACGCCGTATCACTTTGAGACGGCAGGTAAAAGGTGATTGTTCACCAGAGGAGAGAATGTGCTCAACTGCTCGATGCGAAAGTGTTTCCTAAACTGGATCCAAAATTTTGAAGAAATGTTTTACCACAGGGTTAAGGATTTGGGAGTGCTGGGCTATTAGGTATTGTTGAGCCCGCTAATGAGATGGCAGGAGATTACTGTGTTGCTATCCAGCTCCATGCTAGCCCAGACAGGACCTCGGTCTTTGCCCCAAGTGGAAATCCAATATAGTAATTTGTCTGTGTTTGCTGCCCAATAGTAGTGAATAAAACTGGGAAAACCCAGAACTCCTGCTGATCTGGACACTTCCAGAAAAGATTTTCTCATACACGGGACAGATTTGTTCCATACAAAAGAATAAATCAAATCATCTAACGCTTTAAACATAGACTTGGGTAAACAAAAAGAAAAGGGATCATTTAAAAAAAGTACAAGAAGGGGAGTAGAACTGTCATCTTGATTATATTCACCCTCCCAGCCTAAGAGATGAGCAGTAAAGACCATCGAGTCAGATCTTGTTTGCTAACAATCTGTCTCCTAACGAGGTTTTGAAATTATGTCTATAAAAATCTTTATATGAACGTGTAACTTTAACTCCCAGGTAAGTAAATTCTACGGCTCGACTAAAGGGGAACAGCCTAAGATCCAAGGTTGTTGGTAACTGGTTAATAGGAAGAAGAGGACTTTTGGAGAAATTCAGATTGCAGCCTGACGTTCTACTATACGAGTGTAATACGTCAATGAGGACAGGTAGGGATTCCAAGGGATTTGATAAATATATTAAAAGGTCGTCTTCATAAAGTCTCACCTTCACCCATTCATTTCTATGGGCAAATCTCTAATCACACCAATGGCGACCTTTAACCCCTATCCAGCCCTAACCTTAACAAAACAAAATACAAGACTTTTGGCATTTTTAGTTTTTCGATAGCAGTCACAGATTTTTAGCAGACTTGAACTTCCTCTTGTGGGGGCCTGAAAAATGGGCCCCACAATGTCAAAATAACAGATTTTTATCACATTGTGGGGACAATGTAATGTATACCTGGACCACACACACACACACACACACATACACACACATACACACACAAAATCTTGTGGATCTGGTTTTCCGTATATGGGAGTCAGATTTGGAACTGGAAAAACCTTTTCATCCACGTGATATAAGCAATGCTGTAATATTAAACCGAATCTTATGAGAATGGGTTTGTAATTCTGGTAAAGATGGGACTTCCAAGCCTACATTGAGTGGGATTGCTTTTGGCCTGCCAGTCAAAGCTTGTTTTAGCCCAGTGTGATGTAAATAAATAACCATAAGGAGATGGTTAAACCAGGCTGAGATTAATGTCTCAAGGTAATTCGACCTACCGTGGATTCCAAAGCCCAAATTCTGCAACTGCAGGCAGTTTATTACACAGAAATTTGTGACCCACTTCTTTTCAGAGTGTTTTAGGACACCGGGTGAGAGCGAAATTTCTGATTGGATGTTCATATGCGTTGTAAGTTCTGTTAGGTCTGAATATGAGTCAACGTGGCCTTTTCGTTTGTGTTCTACCGTTTCCGTCTGTACGAGGCCTATTACGCATTTCACTGAATGAGCAGGAAGTAAGAGTCTCCCTTGTTCTCATTAACTCCAGTGTGCCATTCTGCTTAATGCTTACAATTATCTTATTGGCTCACAGTTCGACGCCCGCGTAAGCACGAGCGAACGTCTGTTCTGAGGCCCGTGGAACATGCGGGTCTGGATCTGCGTCGGGCTGCTTTCGAGTCAGGATGTCAGCCGGCAAATCAAATCAGCGGTGACCAGCTGAAGACGCCATAGCAACCAGATGAAGACTCCATGGCAACCAGCTAAATATTGCATGGCAAGAAAACGGCTTCCTTTTCCCGCTGTAAAATACTTCATATGTACGTAGCCTCTTTTGGACGGACGAGGCGTGTTTTTTTATTGGCTGGTTTTTACTTTAGGAGAATGACACTCCTGGGTATATCGCAGTATTAATTCGGTGTACGCACTGAGGCATAGAGAATAATGTACAACACAACACAGATTTGCAGGTTATGCAAATGTGCATGTTCTTATTGTCATGGAAGGTAGTCTGTTGTCTAGTCAGATACTGTATACCCTGTTCACATTCTGTGCGTGAATATATATCATTTTCAGTCAATACACTCTGAGTATATATACTGAAAAATCATTTTCTTACAGATTAGGCACATAGCCAGATAGTGAAATTACTGAACCCCCTTTGAAATTTGCCCCTCAGGGTACATTTCCAAAAAGCATCATTGCTAACTATGTTAGCGACGAACGTAGCTGGAACTATCCACCTGAACAATGGGACACTCCATCCCCAAATCGGCAAAATATACCTAGGGCTAACAGATCCCCCCCCCTGCATTACAGAGCTGGGGGCCTCTTAATGAACAGGCACCCTTTTCAGGAGGGGCAGTCAGTTTTGGGTGATTAAGGGTGTACTTGTCTTTAATAATGCCTCACATGGTGTTTGTGTGAATTAGCCACTGATTAGAAGGTTACTTTACGGACTTGGACTGCTGTGTATTATTAGTACATGTAGCGTTTTGTTTTTATTAGACAGAAGTAAATATCAATTACAGCTACTTCAGGTGATTTGGGCCGCCCTCGGCACAGCACGTGACTCTAAAAGGTAAACTTAGTTCGTTCAGGTTAGTATCCGTTTCCGTATTGAACTGGTGTTAGAAAAATATTACAGTTCAGATGTGATGCATCTTCAGACAGGTGAAGCTGGATGGCTTGTTTATTAATGTGGATCCGTATGTAATTACATACCAATCGCTCACGTGGTTTTATACGTCCAGGTCCCTAATCAATTACTAGTAGTATGTTGTTATGATCGCGTGTTTGTTGAATAGAAAAGGTTTTTCTTCCCCCCAAATGACTTTAAATTATACGTCATGCATAATGTGCAGCATGGTTAGGGATCGCGGCTGACGGCATGTGGCTGCAGCAGTGTGTGTGTGTGTGTGTGTGTGTACTTCTCTTTCACATCACTATAGGAGGGGCTTGGGCGAGGTTGCTGTGCCCGACGTAGTTTCTAGTCGCTGCCGGGAGCTGACTGCGGGAGAAGACTGTGCGGCTGCGCTCTCCTCCTCTCTCTTTTCACCCCCTTTTCCATCTCTCCCCCTCTTTCTGCAAAACACGGTCTTCTCTCCATCATTTTGATCCCCGGAGCAAGAAGCGAGAAGAGGAAGAACAGAATAAATAAAACGAAATGGGTTCGTAGCGGCTGAGCGGCGAGCATCGGTGAAAACGATGGATTCCCTGCGTTCCCTCGTCTTCGTCCTCTCGGCGTTTCACATCCAGCTGATCGCATCCGCTGACAAGAAATTTGGTTAGTTCATTCATTTTTCTCTGGCGTGTTTTGGGGTGATCGTGCACTCCTTCCACATTTCTTGTCTAAATCGTTGTATGCACACACAGGCGGAGAGAGCTGGATGTGAATTACTCTGTGATGTTTGTTTTGGACCGGTAGTAAAATTGCACTTGGTAATGACACAAAAAGAACACATTATTATTATTATTATTATTTTAAAAAAACCTTTATTAACTAATAGGATATATGTGTGGCAAAACTTTTTATCTTTTCAAAATAATCTAAAAATTTTAAAGGCCTTTGCAAAATGATGCTAATATGAAAAATATTGTATGTAAATACACTCGCCCTATAAATGAGCGCTTTAAATCTATAGATGCGGTTAGATTGGAATTACCAATTGAAGTCGGTTAAGATTGTGCTGTATTTTTATGTCAATGAGTCGAAACGTTCCAGAATGCTTTGATTTTTGGCTTTCATCTATCTAAAAATGTCCGTGGCATCAGATTATGCACAATGCTTCCGAAAATAGACGGGCTATAGCCTATCTAAAGAAGGCAGCCTCGTTTCATGCGGGTGAAGCGCAGCTCTCTACCGGCTCAACGTGCAATATGGAATTATTTTCTGCTAGTGGTCCGGCGCGTTATCTAATTGCGGTTATTTACACTGGTGCAGTCGCTGCTTCAGTGATCCTGGCGACGACTTAAACAGGTATGCGAAGGACAGGAAGCTGTTTATCCTCCTAACTATGCCAGTGTGCAAGAATATATTATCATAATAACGATTATAATAATTAATGATGATGATGATGATGATGATGATATATGATAGGCCTAATAAAAACAATGACAGCACTCGGTAGTCTACAGATCGTTCCCCATCAATTACATGCGCTTGATCACCTGCATAGTAAATAGGCTTCTTTTGAACCTAAACCCTTGTGTTCGATAAATAATCCCCTGATTTTCCCCTACATCAAATTATATATATTTTAATTCAACCCTGTCCGTGTGAAAAGTTGACCTTAATGGTGTCCGTTTCTTTGGTTGTATGTCTTACGATGCATTCACTTAGGAGAGGCGTGTTTAAGTCCGCTTTGGGGGCATCAGTCCGCATGCACTGGTGATAATTGTAAGTATTTTGTTTTGTGTATACCTTGGCGCTTATAGTTTCCTAAATAGCACGTATTATGGGCCAAACCCAAAATTTGCTTCTTTATTTCGTTTGCTTCTTATTTAGAAATTCATCTATTCCAGAAATGTGTTTAAAACGTCACCTGTTCTGTGTACCGACAATGCCAGTTCGTGGTCGTGATGTTATTGTCTGTGTCATTTATTCAGTAAGGTGTCCAGCTCGTGCCACCTGCAGCTGCCGCTGTGCAGAATCAGTCTGAGATTCGATACTATGGTGGGAGTTAAAGTGCTGTATCCCATCGATTTAAGCACAACGAAAAGCAGTAAATCTACTCATTGGCCGTGGGTGGGAGCTCACTTTACAGCACTGATTTCCTTATTTATTAATCACTTTGAAGCACTGTTGCGCTTTATGGGGGGTTGTGATTCATTCTGAGTTAGGTTTGCGTTTGTACAGATAATGATACTTTTGCCAACAGCAATGGCGCCAACTCAGTGCTCTTTTAAAATGTTAAAATCGTTTATAATAATGTGCTGTGATTAATATTTTAGCCGTCTTTACTGTGTTAAAGTGGTCTGGGTGGGATGGTTGGGGCATCACTTTGCTGTTTGCTCGCAGCATCCTGTGATTTTTTTCCCGTTGTTTCTAACACGTGATCTTTGGCTTTCGGATCCCAAACCACTGTACTTGGTTTCCATAACGATGATTTGGTAACAAATCTACCCCATTTGGGCGCATATGTGTGTATGTATGTGTGATCGATCGAGACTTTAAATCCAGGCGAAGTCATGTATGTTTGTTCTTGAATCATTATCACCTGCATTAAGGGCCTTTAAATACTATACAGTATCATGGCTAAAAAGGGCGATAGGTGTTATTATGCAGCAATATCACGACTAGAACTGTTTATTAAATTTGCCTGAGTGCAGTTTAAAGTACTTGGTTTTATTCAAAACCTGAAGAGTAGGCCTACATTTGCATCGTCTAAATATAGCCTGCTACAATATTCCGATCGATAATATAATGCGATTTATAAAGTCATTTCCTTTCTGTATAATATCTCCGCCATTAGAGCTGCATTCACACAATGTTTTTAAGGAATAAATAGACAGACCGAAACCAACGGGAAAAAAGCTGTTGCGATTGCGCACGGCCTACGTTCATTATTTGTTTAATTAGCTACACATTTGTCTTTGTCTTAATTACATATTTATGTGCATACCGATAGCTTATAAACCCAATCATTCAACTGGACAGCTAGAAGTTGAATATATCAAGTTGCGGGCTGGATCGAAGCGGAAACCAGTATCGCAAACACCTGACGCTGATACGATGCTTCTAATTTAATTTTACGAAACGGCCTGTTTACATATTTCATGTGATTCGGTTTGATGTTATTTGTTCTTGTCCTCTTTCGCGTTCTATAGTTACATATATACACATCCTCAAATGACAAAGGTCTGCGCTTTGTTTTCCGTAAAATAAGGGTAACGGTCACGTGACCTTTAGGTTACCAGCTGCTACTTATTGATGTGAAGTGAAATATTTTATCTGTATTTTGAAAAGGAGTATTTTGAACTCAGTCAACACTCTGCTGCCAGGCAGTAAGTTGAGTACTGCTGGTAATGAGTTACTGGTTATAGGACCATATGTGGGTGCCTAATGAAATAAAGGTTTAAGAGGAGCAGAACGGTACAGATTGGGCGAACAAGGCTGGATTGTGGAAACCAACCAAGTCACGCAGGGATCTCAGGTAGCCATGGACCTGGTGGAGGTTCTGCTTTGACACCGAAGGTCACAGTGATCTCCTGCATCTTAACACCCTCACGAGGACTCGGGTCCCCAAATGTGACTCTTCCCTAAAGGCCCATCCTAGAGCTGGACACTTGAGCAGATTTACTACCCGGCCATTTCTGGCCTGCCATTTTTGGCGGGAGAGGAAATTAAGGGAGCAGCATTATTTCTGGACAAAGCGCTTTAAGGATTAATGTCTGCCCCTTTTTTTTACATTGTAGCCAGGACTTAATGTCTTTGAATTAATCTGCAGTTCGCTGACGGTCCCTAACCGTCTTGGCTGGATTTTTTTTATCGTAAAAGCCACAGCCATAGTGGTGAATTACTCTGGCGCAGGATCAGGGTTCCTGGTAGCATCCCATGCTGCTCTGCTCCCATGGCCGCCCAATCACAGCGGCATTGCAAGCAGGGCGGGGGTGGGGGGCATGGAGCCTGTGACATGAAACCTACATATTTATGCTCTTATTTAAGGGGGCAGCGGAATATGACCACATTTACTCGGCACGTGAGAATCTGTACAGGGACTTGCATAGGCAGTGTTTCAGCTTATTTACCAAAGCATTGTGGGTTAAGTTCCTCACTCAGGGTAACACATAGTGTCCCTACCAGGCTGTTGGCCAGGAACTACCTGGTCACTAGCTCATGTCTGGTGCATAAACCACATTTAAAAACACGGTGTGTTAAAGTCCCGCGCGATGCATCGGTAAGTATACAAGAACACAAAATGAAGAGGGAAGAAAGAAACAGATTAATGCTGAAATAAAAATGAACAATCTGATCTCACTGTAACCATCAGCTGCTTCAGTTGCTAAGGAGTTAACGTGTGTTTTATCTTGATTTAAAAGTGCAGGCACAGACCTGATATAAGTTGAGGGATGATGGTTTGGGGGTGAAGTAATCGACCAGTAGAGTTTAAGATAAGCTTAACAGTGTTACAGGGACGGGTAGGAGGCTGTAGACCAGGCGGACAGTATTACAGTGTGTAGCTGCAGACGTTATCACGCACAATAAGAGGTACCTCCGTACTTCGTTGTCACGGTAGCATCACCTTGGCACCCGGGAAACACGCACTGCTCCTCGAGTAAGTTGTGTGGAAGAGAAACAGGCGTGTGCTGTGCCCTGCTGGTTTGCCGAAGCCGAATGCTCGATTACGGCCGAGAACAGAGGGAATCAAACATGCTGCTCTATCATCCAGGCCCAGCAAAGGTCACTATCCCAATCCCCTTGTCCTCCATGCATTTCCATAGCAACCAGCATTAGTATGTTTAATTCATGTCAGTTGGCCCTTGAGTGCTGTAGGTCAAACAACCAAAGATGAAAGACATTTGAGAGTAGGCTGCATCAGGACACAATCACGGGTAACAGTAATACGTAGTGAGTTGGGTTCGTCTGATGTGCAACAGATACCGGAGAACCAGATGTCAAATCATTAAGCCAAGGGGGATCCTCCTATAGGGCAGAGAAGCTCGATTGGGGGGCGGGGTTTAGCATGTGCCGTCCAATCAACTTTAAGTACTGAGCGAGGGGGACCAACTGCCGACAGGTGGAGGAGTGATGGAAGTTTGTCGCACATGTAAGAGGGTGGATCTGGCGGTTATGGCTGCTGAGACAGACAGACTCTGCTTGGGGGGCTAAATCACTGCTCCGCTAGTCACACCATCCTTTCCCTTCATGCCTCATTTATAAATAGGGATGGCTGATTGTCGTTTGGTGTCCTGGGGCCTCCGGGAAAAGACGTATCGCACAGAACACAACAGCTGTGTTTCTCCCCACAGAAGAAGTTTCTTTTTTCTCATGCTTAACAACTTTGTTCCCGTGTTTCTGGCCAGGAAGCTCGAGTTCACGGAGCTTAAAGATGATGGAGCGAAATAATTCTACTGCAGTCGGCAGTGATGGAAAAGGAAATAATTAGTTTAGTCGTTTCTCCCTTGCAGTTGTTTTTTTCTAACTGGGGGGAAATAAATAGCCCTGGGGGGGTGTTAAGGCTGAGTCTCATTTCAGCCTCTTGCTCACAGAACACCAAGAAGAGAGGCCTCCAGGAATGTGAATGGGCCATCACTGAGTCTCCATAGTGCCCCCCCCCCCAAAAA